AATCAAAAAATTAAAAAGTTAACTCATATCCCAAACAAAAGCTAAGTGGGTTTGACACTTGTTAGAAAAATAGTACCAAACTATATGGAAAATATAATTTTAAAATATGTAAATAGTTTTTAGGCAAAACCAAAACTGAAATAAAATGACATAATAACGTAACAAAACTTATAGTACATAAATAGATAAAACCTAATCGAGTCGAGTGTGTAACACTTTCTCCTTAAGACATATTCGTCCTCCCACCAGTGCTTAGGATTCAATGGACGTCTATCCCCCAGGATACAACGAGTAATGTCTTGCACTAGTAGCACTACTATTGTAAGCCTAGCGAACTTTGTTGTGCATGTACTCTCTTTATAGGAAACTTAGACTCAGAAAATATGAAGAATAGATGCCAAGTGAAGAAGAAAATTGCAAAAATCTCTATCTCAAATTGAAGTGAGGGGGATAGAATTTATAGATTCTTCCATGACTCTTTAGAAAGGTTGTGACCCTTCAAAAGGACACATCCTTCCGTCTCAAGAGACACAACCATTGAAGTAAATTGTAATTCAAATTTTTCAACAATCCCCCACATGAATGAAATTTACAGAAAGGATATGTAACAACATGCAGACAAAGAGAGAGTATATTAAGGAAATATCCTACATCAGGATAGGTAGCTTTTGGCTTTGAATCTTTCCTAGTGAAAGCCTATCGGACTTACTAGCTAATCAGTGGACGTGATGCCTTGAACTGTTCAGCCGTTTGTGTAAGCCAAGACAATAGAATTCATACAAAATATCTCCAAACACAGCTTAGTTCTCACAGTTGTGCCCGTTTTGGCCTTGGGCAAGTCCTGGTGTTTCATGAGTGCTTTAGAGAATTTAGCCTTATCAATTCTTATAGAAGCGGCCCCTTCACACTTATATAGGTGATCCTTATTTCGAGTGTCTTAAATACTCATTTTGAAGGATACCCCTCTAGGTTTTTCAAGATATAAATGATCATTAAAAGCATAGCTTACCCTAAATCCCCTACATACAACACATGTTACAGATATCACTCTCATCATAGGAATGGATAGGAGATAAACTCCTTTAATGATTTCTAGCGAGCCACACATAACTTAATTGTCCCTTTGAACTTAGCTCTTGAGATCTCTAGTCATCTAAGTAAGGTTAACATTATGATGACTCTGGTGTAATAGGCTTTAATCACATTTCCCTTGATGAACTTTCCCTCATTTGCTTTCTGGTCAAACTTTTTATTTAGCGACCGCTATTTTTCGTTTGACCTTTTTAAGTATATATCATTGAGTAGTTAGTGGATCCATTATATTATCCTTAGACAATATTCACAACTGAAAACAAATGTCCTATGGTGTTTAAGTCTTTGATTACATCGAGACTTACCGTTACTTTATGTCACTCTCATTTTCCAATAATAAATATAGAGTTGTTTCTTAAGAGTTAATGAAACCATTTTTGCTTCTACTCCAACTTTGTCCTATAAAAAGAATTGAGATTCTTTGTGGACCTACAATCGGAACCGTTATTTTGGTAAAATCCTCCAAGCACCTCTACATTTTAAGCATTCCAAGGAAACTTAATTTCTTATGCTAGTGTATAATTACACAAAAATATTAATACACCCTCACAATTCTGAGATAAATCAGAATATATCATTAATTGGCGTGCTTGAACTAAATAACAAGATGTAAATTGCTTTGTGAATTTCACAATACTAATTTGTCTAAAATACAATTAGACTTCATAACTTACTTTTGCAGTACAAAGAAGAAATGACTAATAGCAGTTGTGGCCACAACACTTTGTCAAATAACATTTTTTTAGCCATGATCAATTTCTTTTTGTTTACCGTAACCCTTAATTCCAATCTCAATATGGAATATAAATATCACTGTATAATTACATTTACATCTTATTTGTCTCATCCAGTATTGGTGACTACGTCGACAATTACTAAAGTGTCTTTCACCCATGAAATATTTTAACTCATATAATATTTCATTACGGAGTTATTGGTCACCACACCAATTTCAGTCATTATTCCAAAGAATAATTAGAATTCCTCTTATGTCAAAACACATAAGTTCAAAACTATTAAAAACAGTTTCTAAAAACAATTCCAAAATTGAAAATCAGAAAATAAATTTAAACAAAAATTTTCAGAACTTGAAATACAGAAAAACAGTTTAAATTTCAGAATTGGAAAAACCAGAAAAATAAACTGTTCAAAACCAGTTTAATAATTTCCAGAATTTAAAAAAAAAAAAAAACCTTTCCAGCATCATTTAATTTTTTTAAATTTTTTTAAATAAACTGTTTCAGCACAAAACTATTTTAAATAAAAAATAAAAAATAAAATTTATTTTCAGATTGTTTTGATTTGACCAAAAAACTAACTCCCAATAAACCTTGATCTTTTGGGATGTATCGTATCATGATAATATGGCAGCCATTGGTTCCTGTAGGTAATTCTTATCAAATACGTAGTGTTTTCATATATGGGGCCCGCAAGCTTGGTCAAACTTTTTGTTACCAAGAGAAAGAATTGCAGATGAGATCAAGAGATTCTTTGCGAACACTCTGGAGAGGAATGGACATCATTCTTGCAATTTATCCTCATCATCACATTCCAAAATGTTTTTTGATAAAAAGATTCAACTCATTAAATCTTGATTTGGACAAAACATTTCTGCAATATGAAACTCTGACTCCTTCTTTTTTCCAAAAAAAAAAATTCAACTGTGACTAAACATATGAGTAATTTGCCCGGAACAGAGAAGACTGAAAATTCTTTCTCAAGTCTGCTTGAACTTGTTGCAGATAATGATGTTGAGGGGTTCAAGCAACCGGTTTTTGCGTATTGCTTTTGTAATTAATGAAATGGGACTCTGGTACATCAAACCAGATGGCATTTGAGAATCGAACCCCGTTACTGGTTGCTGTCATGTATGGCAGTGTTGATGTTGTAAAACTAATACTCTCTTTATCCGAGGCAGATGTAAATCTTTCATGTGGCCCAAATAAGAGCACTGCCCTTCACTGTGCTGCATCTAGTGGATCTGTCTATGCTATTGATGTTGTAAAGATGTTATTACTTGCTAGTGCAGATCACAATTTGATTGATGCCAATGGCCATCGACCTATTGATGTTATTGTCGCTCCTTCAAAATTTCCTGACTTGAAAGATACCTTTGAATGGCTCCTCAGGAATGATGCTTCTGTTCATCTACTGGACATTAAGGTATCCTTTGGTGGTGAGAAATCGAATTTATCATCACACTTATCATCTCCAGAAAATGGTCCCTTGTCTTCTGCTTCTAAATAATTTTAGGCTCTATGAAACCCGAGCATCCTCTCCACCGGAGAGGAAAGAATACCTGGTTGATCCTTCTCTTCCAGACATCAAGAATAGTGCATATTCCAAGTACATAATACTCATCAAACAAAAGAAGAATCAGATTAATTCAGTGACCAATATACTAAGCCCATTATAAAGAGTTCAATCCTAAAGAAAAATATGATAGGTCCAAGCACCAATTTTAGTGCAAAATTAGAGATACTGTTTGGCATCTTTCGACATTCACATCGCAACTATCATATTCTTACTACCACAGATTGAAAATCATACCCCAAACACATCTAACTTTACCAATGGATTGATGTTAACACAATATTAGTTAAGGTTGGAAAAATGGCTACGTAAACTATTCTAGCAATGCAATGCCACTATCATTTCTAACAGTTTGTCAGATTCAAATGAAAAATCAAAATTATATTTTCCAAAACCACAAACAGGAACGAGTCTGTCTTAAGATTGTTGAAAAAATAGTACCAAACTATATGGAAAATATAATTTAAAACTATGTAAATAGTTTTTATGCAAAACCAAAACTGAAATAAAATGAAATAATAACGTAACAAAACTTATAGTACATAAATAGATAAAACCTAATCGAGTCGAGTGTGTAACACTCTCTCTTTAAGAGAGATTCGTCCTTCCACTGGTGCTTAGGATTCAATGGACGTCTAGGACACAACGATTAATGTCTTGTACTAGCAGCATTACTATTGCAAGTCTAGCAAACTTTGCTGTGCATGTACTCTCTTTACAGGAAACTTAGACTCAGAAAATATAAAGAATAGATGCCAAGTGAAGAAGAAAATTGCAAATCTCTATCTCAAATTGAAGTGAGGAGGATAGAATTTATAGATTCATCCCTGACTTTTTAGAAAGGTTGTGACCCTTCAAAAAGACATACCCTTCCATCTACACAACTATTGAAGTAAATCATAATTCAAATTTTCCAACAACACTCTCTATTGCGTCTCACAACGTGACTCTACTTAGCACATATTGAGTACAACACTACATGAAATGATTATACTTACCAAGTAATATAGTATTTACTGGTAAGTTATATCATGTTCAGTACATCCTTGTGACAAGTGTGGGGAAGGTACTGATCTCACATATTATTAAATTTACAGATCCTAAATTTCACCACCTATGGTAAATGACAAAATATTCAAAATCGGTCGCAAAACATGAAAAACGTAGTTATCTCACAAAGTAGAAGAGCCCAAATATTTTTTGCTCCTTGTAACATTAAATTTGTAATCACAAAAAAAATAAAAATAAAAAAATAAATATTACAAATAAAAGAGGATCAACTATTAAACACAAAATTTCATTATTCAAATTTCATTAATTACTATTAACTTACATGCGTAACATGTAAATTATTACATTCAAACCTTTTGTTGTTGGACGGTCAAAATTTTTCCCTAAAAAAATTTAAATAAATTTTTTTTTTTCTAAAACCTCTAATTTTTATTTTTTATGTATGGTTACTCAAAAATTACTTTTGTTACCACAACCAAACCCATTACGATGCTTTTTAAAAAGAATAGAAGCACGTGAAGCACAAAACCCAATTAGCAAAATAAACAAAAGAACCTAGAAAATAACCAACAAGAAAAGAAACATTGATAGGTTCGTTAATGGCGGATCATTCAAAGACAGCTGAATATTCCCAAAACCCCTATGGCATCATTGACGACATCACCCACCTATCACCATGTCCTTCCATTTACCCCTCTCTTCATTCCCCTCTAAAATACACTCTTTTACGACTCCACAAACAAACCAACAAGACAGAGAGAGAGATGGCACCTGCAGAGAGCGTGGTGGTGGTGATGGATGCCAACCACCGCAAAGTGAGTGTTGAAGCCGTCGACTGGGCCATCAAACACATCGTCCGCCCAAGAGACACCGTCGTGGTTCTGGGAGTGTTGTCTGAGGTTGGCAAGAAAACAACCACTTCTTCTTCTTCTTCTTCATCTTCTTGTTTGCCTTTCCACGTGGGGGCTAGCCTCTCTCGCATTTGTAAGTCTTCCTTCTCCTTCTTTTCCCTGCCTTTTTTGGTTCTTTGTAGCAATCTGTGTTTGGAACAAGAATCGTCAATGATCAAAGAGAGCCATGAGTTCAGTTACTACATGGATGGGGTGAATTTATGACATGCCATGCAAACATTAAAAGGTAATGTTTGCATGGCATGAAACACTGGAGTAAATATTGGTAATAAGGGTGAGAAATTTTATATTTGGTAACAGATATGAATCAAGATACTCTCCTTCACTTCCTTTCTTGAGTATCTACTTGTTGGGCTATTGGGCTTACTTTAGGCTCAATTTTGATGATCTGAACCGTTCACATTTTAAGATTTGTTAAGTATATCATACTTTTAAAAAATTAAGTTGATCGGATATCAGAAAGCATGTGTTCGGAAAATTGTTTATTAAATTTTTTTTAAAAATGGTTTTTAGTTCAATGATCCGAACACATAGTTTCTGATATACAATCAACTTGATTTTTTACAAGTATAATATAGTCAACAAATCTTAAAACATGAATGGTCCGGATCATCAAAATTGAACCTAAAAGTGGGTTTAATGACCTAACAAATAGAAAATCAAGAAGGAAAGTCAAAGAGAAGATCTGATACGTTATGGCCTTAAAAATTCTTCATTCAGCCTAAAGGTTCAAAGCTAGGCCCGGCTGGTTGGCTGGGATTTTCCTGGCCCAAGGCCATACCTTGGATAGGCTGGTCAGCCCAAATATGGCTTGGGTTATGTTAGGTTATGTATTCAAACCTGGTCCAACCCAATAGCCTGACTCGTGGACATATGAGAGTCATCTCTCAAGTCCAGCAAAAAAACAAATAGTAGGCCCGAATCTCAGGCCACTGTGCTTAGCCCACCTAGCCTGCTAACCACGGATGGATCTAAGTAGGAGTGAGCAGCGGATATATCAATCCGTTCAAACTGATCGAATCGAACCGATCCGTCACATTTTGAACAGATGCGTGATGACGAGCGGACAGTTACGGATTGATTTTTTCTAATCCGCCTAGTTTTGGATGGATGGCAAATTTGAGGTTCTTTGGCCGCAATCGAACCGTCAAACCGCAAGCACTTCTAGTAATTTGTAAGATTTTGTGTTTTTAATTTATTTAGGTACTCTGTTTATGTTTTCAATTAAAAAAGAATTTAAATATTTTGTTTAATATATTCTGTTGAAAAAGAATTTTCAACTTGAATATATTTTTTGAATTGAAAAAAATAAATGCATTATTTATTTATATTTTTTGATTTTTAAATCTAGCTCTAAAAGTAATAAATACAAAAAATATATATGTGGTTGATTTTTGTTTTTAAAAACAGATATAGATGTAACAATACAGAGGCATACAATTTCTGCTACTGCTCTGTTTATGATTTTGGTGGTTTGAATTATATTTTAAGAATCACAAATTGTAATATTTTATGTAATACTTTATATATTTTATGTAATACTTTATATGGATGAGTCATGTTGTAATTGTAATATGTAGATGAGGCATGCAGTAATTGTAATACTTTTTTAGGTCATTAACTGTAATATTTTTATTTTTTGAGGAAGTGCACAAGCTGAAATATGTTAAAAATTTATAAAATTTTAAACCGCCAAACTGATTCGCATCCATCCGCCAATCTGCTCAATCCACATCCGCCGAATTGGCGAATGGATGCAGATTGATTTTCTCTAATCTGCCAATCTGGCGGACGAATAGCATATTAGAGATTTCGTGACCGCAACCAACCCATGCTCGCTCTTAGATCTAGGTGGTGGTTGGATCCCAAAAATTATGAAAATTATATTATATTACACTAATAATAGTAAAATAATTTCAAAAAATGAGAAATTACATGTATATTTGTTCCCTCAAAGTTTGAATCTTGGATCCATCATTGCCGCTAACCTACTCGGGTCAAGATGATTGGATTGGGCTTGGGCCTAAAGCTTTTGGACTTAGGCGTGGTTGGCCCGGACAGTTAGAATAAAACCGCCAAACAACCCACAGTAGTAGAGATGGCAATAGAAAACCTACCCTATAGGTACCAATGGAGATCCGACCGAAATATATGAATTTTTTCATTTTTTCTTATCTGTTGGGTCAATTAAATAGTGTTTTTTAAATATTCATAGGATATGGGTCGGGATGGGTAACCGCCATTTCTTCTATATGTTGTGTTTAATTAAAGAATGAATATATCAACTTCTGAATGCAGTAGTGAATGTGAATCTGGTTGGACAAACTACTTAGATCAATCTTCATATTCTGCTATATATCAATTCCAGAAAGACGGTAGTGAAGATTGCAGATACAAATTAGGAGAAAATGTGGAGGAGAATGGTGAAGATGAAGATTTGTGGAGATGTGGATGGCGTCAGATGCATTGTCTGGGCCTCCACATTTCCAAGAAGATGATGAAGAGGATTGCTTTGATGAAACTGGGTATTTTTGTTATGTTCTTCAGTTTTCAAGTAACCAAACAAGACAAAGAACAAAAAGAAAATCAAACAACAAAGAGGCAAACATCAATTTTCTTGTCCTGATGACACTGCTACCTCCGTTGTCTCAAAATTATACATTTGATTATTTTAAAATAAACTTTTTAATTAATTAATTAATGTGTATTTGATTTTGTTGTTGAATCAACTAAAATAAAATAAAATTGAATGTATATTAAGTTTTGGTTGTGAACCTTAAAAAAAAAAAAAAAGGTCAAGTTGGATTGAGGAAAATCCAAACCCATTAGGCAAGGTGGATCGAGGATTATATTTTTAAGGGACTACTCTATAGTTTAAAAAATTGAAAAGGCTACTCTATATAACTTTGAAATTATTTACAAAAAATTTGAGAATGTCAACTCTTATAATTTAAAATTATTTTAAAATTTTTAATATAAAATATAATATTTTTTAAATTTTTGGGAGTGCAACTACCCCTAGCCCCAGATCCATTATATTAGGAAATAAAAAGAATAATACCATGTAGAATGGGGAATGAAAAATGAAAAAAAATTATCAAAAAAAAAGGAGATAAAAATTAATATTCACCTCATTAACCCTCGTTGCCATCCCTACACAGTGGCTTGGCACCAATGCTGAAAACTACTTTCTTCTTTTTAGTTTTTCTCTTTTGAATCGTAAAAACTGTTTGTAAATCATTGAATGTGATCTCCAGAAACTTCCATCAATGAAAACCTCGTAACAATAGATATGCCTAATTGAATGCATGCTTCAATTGCAACTTATTGCAGTGAGAATAGAGTTCTCAGGACATGGAGAAATGAACCGCACAGAGCTTGAAGAAGAGATCGAGAAGAAGAGGGAAGAATTCCACTCTACTTTCCAGCCATTCTACCGACGCTGCAAGAAGAATGAGGTTTAATTAGTGGCTAATCCATATTTGCTAATACTAAAAAATCTAGGGTTTAGCATTGAATATTGTTATATCCACCAATTGGTGTACCAATTAATGTACTAATCGATGATATGCCATAATTTTAGAGATTTTAAATATTCGTAATTTGTATAATAGACGGGATCAATAATAATATCATGACATATGTTGGTACTAATTGATACAATAATTGATGTATGTAGCACGCCGTTTTAACATTTATGTCAAAAAGTATGCATTTGTGCAGGTGAAGTTGGAGGTTATACTCGCTGCTGGATATGATCCATGTGAAAAAACCATTGAACAAGCTCAAAATTATAATACTCAGTGGATTGTTTTGGACAGGTAATTAATTGAAGTCCTTGTTTTTATCTAGAGAGGTATACAGTATCAGCAATACAGTAATAAATCTGTCCATATCAAACAATATAGGCCTATATATCATTGAATATATCGGTATGGAAAATTCAAAATCTCAGTATGTATCAGCCTATATTTAGAATCCTGCTAGAGACATCGAGACATTTAGACAATAAAAGCAATATAAAACATACTCACATTCTAATCCTCTGCTTAGTTTGGCAGAAAACATTCACACTTTTAATATGACAAAAAAATGAAAGTCGGAAAATATTTTTTACCTTTGAAAGGTGAAATACGTTTTACAAAGTGACATCTTACTAATGTCACTACACTATCACGATCATTATTTCTTCCACTAACCTATCAGTACCACCCACCACTGCTGCCATCACCACCACCACCATCCAACCACCACAATTACCACAATCACCTCCGCTGCCACACACGACCACCACTAGCACAATATTTTCAAAATCGTAACCGAATATAAGAATATGTTTTCTGTAGAAAAATATTTTTCACCAAAACAAACTCAGTGTAAATCTCTTTGTGATTAACCTTTATGATTTTATTCATAATTGCAGTCACTTGAAGAAACATAAAGCATACATACATGGTCGTGTAACCTGCAATATTGCAGTCTTTAAGGGGAAAGATGTTGCTACCTTGATCTCATCCAGAACTCCCGAGTACAAAACAGATGGTAAAAGTGTTGCCAATGTGGGTGTCATTGCCAAAGAAGATGACGAACTCCAACATGAAGTTCTCAATCCTCCAGAAAAATCATTCATACCAGCACCAACAACGCCTCCAAGTCCTTGTTGGTACCCACTTTCATGGAGAACTGGTTTCCCACGAGCTTTCTCCATCAGTGAGCTTGGAGAGATAACCAACGGCTTTGCCGATTCGAATATTGTTGTAGAGGAACATGAAAAGAAAGTTTACAAAGGGATTTATCAAGAAACCCGTGTTTTAATCAAGCTTTTCTCTGCCAGTGATGACCAGTTCTGGTCACTGCTCAAGATCCTTTCCCGGGTCCGCCATCGCAACATTTTAAACCTTGTTGGGTACTGCTGCACTGATGCTTCCCTGTATCTGCTCTGTGACTACCCTTGCAATGGCACTGTTGAAACAAACCTACTCTGTAAGTAAAACTCATCTTCAATTCATTTGGTTGTGCTACTGTTTCATATTATTACAAAAGAATAGGTAGTCAAAGGGTACTAACTATGTGCGTTTTAAAAAAAAAAGGGTACTAACTATGGATTATTGCATATCCCACAAATGCGAACAAAAGCTCACCCACGCATCAACTGAAGAGAAAAATACATAGAGAATTCACTTGGTTTGGCACAAATCTGCCCACGCAAACTAATGAAAGAGATTAATCCAATGCAAACAGTAGATAGTACGAACATGAGAGCAAAACCCCAACACCAATACTCGAGTACTGAAACAATGCCCATTTCCCTGTTCAAGGATAACTGAGCCACGAAACCATACCGATTGGCTCATACCCTGTACCCGGGTATGTTCTGTCTGGCCTTACATATCTATAAATCCTCTCAATCTCACATCACAACACAAGAATTCTCAAAAATTCCTTATTTATAGGCAAACTTAAAAAATTCTAGTCCCAAACCAACCATAAGCATAACGGACTCCTTGTGAATTCCAGAATCTACAACCTAATTTAAATATATTTTAAAAAATCAATAACCATATAGGTCCTATAGAATACTACACAACAACATGATCATCGTTCTTCAAATTGAATGCTGAGCTTGTGTCGTGAATTTAACATCACTGTGGTCGCACAACATTGCATATCCTTTTAATTTTCATTTTGTCTTCAAGAAAATACTCTGCTTCAAGCTTAGATCAACAGAAAAAAAAGTGGATTTTTTTTTTTTAAATCAAGCTCCATAAATTTGTAGGTGATGAGTCAGCAAAGAGACTTTCATGGAGAGTTAGGTGGTATATTGCTCTAGAGATAGGCATCGGCTTGCGCTATCTTCATGAAGAGTGTGTTGATGGACCTATAGCAGACCTCTCTGTCTGTTCCACTTATGTTGTATTTTCTAGTGGTTCCACTGTAATGGTAAGTCTATTTTGTTGCAAGTGTGTTTCAAGTTCAACCTGGATGATGCTTATTATAGCAATACAGTAATAAATCTGTCCATATCAAACAATATAGGCCTATATATCATTGAATATATCGGTATGGAAAATTCAAAATCTCAGAGTCTATTTTGATTCAGTTTGCAACTTTCAGACCCTTGTATATTTTGTCCTATTTTGGGCTTAGTGTTTGTGATGATCATACACTTTTCAAAAAGGGTGTTGAGAGAGAGCCGGCTCATTGCAATATTTATTAGTCATAGTGAAACTCCTTTACTGTTCTTCACCCGTTAGACGTAGGCTTATTGTCGAACCAAGTAAATCTTTGTGGTTGTGTTTGTTCTGTTTTAGATTTTAGTTTTTTTTTTCCCCCCCATCTTTGCCTTTGTCATGACAGTAATTAACAAATTCACTACATTAAATATTTGGCTTTCGGCTGTCTAAAACAACCAACATGCAAATCTCAACTAGATGAAATTTCTATGATTTTTTTTACCACTGCCATCAATCAACTCTGTTTAGCAGAGATGATTATCTCAACTTGGATGTGCTTTTGTTGTACTACAGTGACCTTAAAAACTGAATTTTTTTTGCTTTCACTGTCATTCAAGCTTAGCATCTTCAACACAGCCAAGTGGCTCAAGGATGATCTTTCTCACAATGAAGATCCACCAGCCGAGTAAGAAATCTTCTTAAACTTCTTTTTAGTATCTTGCTTAACCACATCTTAGTTCAAAGTTCCTTCTTAAGATACTAACTAGAATTGTATTTGATGATTGAAGAAGCCTGAATGCAGAAGAAGATAAGCACCTTTTGGCAGATATACATGACTATGGGCTGTTCCTCATAGAACTCATAACCGGGAAGAGTGCCCAGTATTTTCAGAAGCAAGCCAAGGGTCAGTCCTTAATTGATTGGGTAAGATGTTTAAGCAACTCCTGCTTTGTTTGATTCAGCGGAGAATATTTTTCTACGGAAAAGTTTTTTATAGAAAACACTTTCCAAATAATAGTTTCATTAGAAAATATTTTCTAATGTTTGGTTGCAACCTTGAAACTAATGTGCAGGTGATGGTGGTGCGGTGGGTAAGAGTTTAATCCAGAAAATGTTTTCCATCTTTTAAAAGTAAAAAATGTTTTCCATTCAAATGAGCTTGTCTTTTAATGACTTTTGTTTTCCATTGTACCAAATGCCAAAAGATACCAAAAAATAATAAAGAAAAGAAAATGTTTTTCACTAAAACAAACAGAGCATCTGAGTATTTTACTGAAAATACGATATTGATAATGAACTTTTGTAACGATGCTTTGCGCTTTTTTTTTGTCTCTCCCTCGAACAATATCACGAAAAATAGCAGTTTTTTGTTTTTAAAACGAAAAACCTCAAAACAGGATCATTAACAAAAACAGAAAATCAAAATCTAGTTTTCATGTTCTGTTTCTGTTTTCATTTTCTGGGAATATTTGGCTAGAATTACAAAGTTTCTTTCTTCCAATGTGACTAAGTTTTAATCTCAGTTTTCATTCTGAATCAAGTGGATTAGCAAAGTTTTACATCTATTGGTACAACAGGCATTGCCATATCTGGAAAATGGTTCCCTAAACCAAGTGATGGATCCAAGAGTGACAGACACTAGCGATACTGGGGTTGTATCACATATGTCACGCGCCGCTTTGCTCTGTCTAAAGAACGATACGGCTCATAAGTTTTCTATAAGTGAGGTATGATTTACATGGTTTATATGCCCAATTACCAAATCCTTCCCTTCCTTGTAGGTTCCATGTGAGACATGTTTCTTGTTAGGTGTAAGTCATTTGGCAACATGGAAGGGATTTTAGCCTTGTTAGGTAGTGATGTGGATCTAACCACCCGATCATATATCCAACTTTGTGGTAAGTTGGGGGAGTTGTAGGGGCAGAGCCCCATCCTTGAATGTGGGGGCGTTCAGGGGCTTGTAGCCTGACCCGAATTTAGAGTAAGGTTTTTTTTTTACTATTTTCATATGTATAACTTGTTTTTTGTAGTTGAAAGTAAGCAACTATCTCTATAATCTCTTATAACTTTTTGATCATAGTAAAAATCGCAGCATCTGTCGTCATAACCCTAGTTTTGAGATGAAACATAAACCTTGTGTTCTTTGTGGAAAATGGCTTTTCTCTAGTTGGGCATCCAACTGGAGGGGTGGTGTTGGCTTCGGTGGGCCCATCTAGGGATTCACTTTGATAAACTGAATCGTCTATTTTATAAAGTTTATTCAAAAAGTTCATCTATGTAAAAAATCAAGTTGATTAAATATCAGTAGCCATGTGATTGGATCACATGTAGCTTAAAAAATGAATGACAAAAATGATTTTGAGAATAGCCCTTCTATTTTTATTTATTTTTTAAATACAAATGTGATTCGATCATGTGACTACTGATTCTAATCATCTTAATTTTCGCATAAATGATCTGTTCAGTGAGCCCTACAAAATGAACAATTGGGATTATCTAGACGGGCCCATCAAGCTCAACAAGACCTGTCCAGTTGGATGCCCAAATGGAGAAAATCCAAACCCTTCTTTGTGTGTGTGATTTATCATTCTTGTGGGTTTGTTATCTTTTTTTTATTTTTTTGGTATTTCCTGATTAGATGTTTAAGATTCCTAACAAGCTTATCTCTATCTATTCTCATTTCATCCGTTTCATGTGTTTTATTTTGTTTTGGTATTCCGATGTATAATGAAACCGTTACAGGTGTTAGCTGTGGTTCGTGGTGATCAATTTGCAGTGAGCAACTCTTGAAGTGGTGATCAATTTGCAGTGAGCAACTCTTGAATTCCTTCATAGATGTTTGCAGTGTCATTTTATGTGTAAAATAAAATTAGAGTAGATGTTTTCGGTGAAAAGTTTGTATGATTACATTTACAATTTTGCATATATATATATATATGCATGTGAAATTTATCACACCAAAACTTGTAAATGTCCACAAACAAGCAAGAGGAAAATGAATTCAAAGTGACTTCTATAGTTTAAGTTCTTTGTATGAATGAATGTGGCAATAGGATTGTGATGTGTCATGGAAGTAATCATGTCCTTATAAACTATCTGAAAATTGATCAAAACAGAACACTCAAATTGGACCAGCAATAAATTTGAGTGATTCAGGGCTATGATATTAGGCCATTCATTGTAAAAAAGGGTTGTAATTAACAATCTAAGATAGAGCTCACTCAAATATATATATATTTATGAATTAACCACTTTTTTTGCCTCTATTTAGTTGCACTTTTGCTATTGTTGTTCTTATCCTCTTTTCTTCTTCCTATAATTTCCAAGTCTTCAGAAGTCGAATCAAATTTGTTGGTGAGAAAGGAAAAAACTCAAAGTTTGCTCAAATGACTATAATTTCAGCTCAAATTATCCGAAAAGGTGGTTGATTCAATTTGGAAATTTTAATCGTCTGCTTCCGCAGTGTACTTCTTGTTATGGGAGTGTCTTGAATTCGACCCGGATGATGCTTATTATCCGTTGCCAACCCACACAACCCATTTAACAACTGATAGGTCTGACCCAGTATTGTATTTGGATCTGTTTTGACCCGTTTACAACTTTCAGATCCTTGTATATATTGAGTTACTTTGGGGTTCTAGAGTGGATGATGATGATCTTGTGAGTTAGGATTTGAGGGATAGAGTCGGCTTATTGTAATGTCTTTATTTATAATGAACTCCTTTGTCTTTCTTTGCCCGTGAATGTAGGAATATTTTTGAACCACAAAAGTCTTGTGTTTGTTCTGTTGTAACTTTTTAACTCAAATTGAAAGTTGTTGAGCTCAGGGCACAAGAAGTGTGGTTGTGCAAGCAAATATTGTGACTAAATGACTAGGTTTCATTTCCCTATCAAATTGGTACACAAGAAGAGTAGAAAATATGGACAGAATCAAATGCCATATAACTCTGCAATGTACAAAATATAAGATATGACAACATCAACATATAGCTCTACTTCGTTGAGACAATTGGTACAATCTTTTTCTCATTAAAAATTACAAAAACAGCACCGCGTGGCATAAAAATTAAGGCAATTAACTTTTGAACAGATGAGTTTATAGATGGCTATTCCCTTTTAAGAGCAACTCAAACATCACTAGAAAATAAAATTGTAATCTATGACCAACTGAGAAGTAGTGAAATTTGCATACTGTTTAACAATAAAGTTACGGACTCAGAAGTTTTAAACATAAACTTACCTAAAAAATCAATGTTTGATCAAGATTTAATTCTTGTATGGTGACCCAGTTTACTTATAAATTCTTCATCACCTCAATTTGTGCTTGTCCGCACGTGCATGTGCATGTGCAAGTGCAGGTGTGTGTGTGTGAGAGAGAGAGAGAGAGAGCTGTTTAATGCTCACTATGCAAAGGATGCATGCTGAAAGTGAAACCACTCTCTTTCCATGCCCCATTCTAAGGCCTCTATATTTATTGCCTATTGAAGATAACAAACACCAAAACAGACTCTGGATTATCCACTCCAAGCTTATTAAAAATGGTGGAATTATTCAAAACCCTCATCACAGACTCACCTATCACCAGGTTCATCAGAAAAGCCCCAAAGTTGGTGTCATTTAAAGATTTCTTTTTCACAGACTCACCCATCACCCATGTTTACCTTCCAACGGCAATAGCATCGATCATTGCAATTTACTGTTTCTCTTTCATATTCAATTCCGTGTACCTCATCGGCTTCTCGTGTTACCTCCCACCTAATCACTTACAAACCACCAATGCCAGACTCCTCAAACACTACAAATCATGGAAAACCTCGAACAAGAGGTCAGAGATTTCCTATCAAAAGTAGTCAAAAGGTTAGGGATTGGGTGTGAGACTTGTATGCCCCTTGCAGTGCTAGAAATCCCACCGAATGGCTCCTCTTCACAGTTGTCAAAGACATCTCCAAACACAATCCCAAAAGCATTGACATTCTTGTGTCAAATTGCAGCCTCTTCTGCCCAACACCATCCATCACGGCCACAATTATGAACAAGTTTGGGTTCCAAAGCAATGTAAAGAGTGTCAGCCTCGGCAGACTGGGCTGTAGTGCTGGACTTTTATCTGTAAGTTTGGCCAAGGACCTTCTCAAAGTCCACAAGAGCTCAATTGCATTAGTTCTCAGCATGGAAGTTGTTAAGCCCAATGGTTACCATGAGAAAGCCAAATCCATGCTTTTAGCCAACGCTCTCTTTCGTATGGGAGGAGTGGCTGTTCTATTATCAACAAGAAGCACAACAAAGGGAAAGCCAAGTGCAAGCTCCAACACCTTGTCCAGACCCACATGGGATCGAACGAATTATCATACCAATCAGTCTTCTAAGAACCTGATGAAGAGGGGCATGTAGGTGTGTCACTATCAAAGACTCTTCTACGCGTTTGGCAAATTGCATTTGGCAGTGGCTTTAAACGTAACGGTGCAGTGTGGAAATGCATTTTGAAACTTGATCCTAAGGCTAGAAATGCATGGTCAGATTGCATCCATTTGTATCCTGTTGAGGTCACAGATGTTTCTCACCATTGATTCTCTTTGGCAAGCGTATCTTCACCCAAATCATGAACACTGTTTTCGGCTTGCATGCTATATGTAAGATAAATTGATAGAGAGAGAAAGCAAGTGAATAAATGAGATGTGTATATACTTTGTTAATTTACAAAGGGAGCCTAGCTCTCTTCTTATAGCCTGTGATGTACATTGTATGCGAGGCACCGAAAGCATAAAGCTGGGGACACTAATTATTAAAACTAAACACTAACATATAATAATATACTAACAGCCCCCCTCAAACTCAAGGAGGATAGGTACTAGCCAACTTGAGTTTGGAGAGAGTAACAAAACAGGAAAATAAAATAGGATAGGACACTGTATGGTCGTGTCGAACCGTTGGTGAAGACACTGTATGGTTGTGTCAGACCGTTGTAGGAGCTAACCGGAATCAATGTCGGGACAGTTTACGGGGTCATGCCGGACCGTTGTAGAAGCTGACTGAAATCAATGTCGGGACAGTTTACGGGGTCATGCCGGACCGATGTAGAAGATTTTGGTGGTGCACCAAGGGGGCGACTTAGGGAGTGCGCCATGGGGTGGCTTGGGTGGTTCCCATGGTATATAACCATGCTCACCAGCTTGGGTGGTTCGCATGGTGTGTAACCATGTTCACCATGATATATGTACAACCCCCCCTCAAACTCAAATAGGTGTGAAGATAAAAACCTATTGGAGGTTGAAACAAAGGGATTGATAAAGTGGAGCAAAACGGCTCAACACAAAATGGAGATGTTAAATAAAAAATTAAAAAAAAATGGTAGAAAGATTTTTTTTTTTTTTTTTGGGAATGTGGAACTGAAAAATGTAAGGATTGTAATGGTAAGGTAAATAGACGCAGTGACAGTTAAGGAATTTTGTATTTGTGTGTTATGAAAGGAAATTGAATAAAATATGATGATGGTGATGAAATGATGAATATGGTGATAAATAAAAATAAAATAAAAAAGGTAGTGGGGAGCAAAATGGTTTGTGCAAAAGTTGACTGGGTATGAATTATAAAGATATATTTGTTTTAGGAAGACAAGCTGAGGGGCGTGCTGTGAGTGGGGGTGCATATGAGTGGTGTGTGTAAGAGCAAAGCATGTGATATTCTGAAGAGGTAGGTAGGCAGGGAATCATGATCTGGACACAACCTTCCATCACCCCCACCGTCGGTTATTCTCTCTCGTAATTAAAATATGTAATTACAATAAGCGACACCATAGCAAAGTTTTTTTTTTTTTCTTCGCGTGGGAGAAGAATACCCATGTAACCCACTATCCAAGGCATGGACAGCATCATTATCTCACACATATCAACCAATGACGTGGGGCAAACCCACTTCTCTATTACCAATTTAAAAACCCTCCAATTCGCCACTTGATGACCAAAGAAAAACACAGCTGTAAGCAACACTAACGGCACTGGGTATAGAGAAAGATGTTTTCTCTTTTTTCTGTTTCTGTCCCCACCATCATCATAACAAAAACCGAGAATAGTGCAGGTCGGAGCTGGTGCGAGCCGTGGCTGGAAGCAGCGGCAGGGCCGCAAGTGGGAGATGCACACACCCAAGGTCGGCGCGAGAGTCCCATTCCAGGGGCGTGGAGCTCGGTGACGCGGCCGGAGTCGCAAATGACGCCAGGCCACGAGCATGGGGTGGGCCACGACCCCATCCAAGCAACACCAAAGCCCTAAAAAAAGAAGAGGGTTTTAGCTAAAACCCCAAATCCAAATCGACGGAGACCATCTGGGTCGAAATACAGAGGTGTTCGACAGCGAAAATGGGGGAGATGGGCTGCTGAGATTCGAGACCCTTTCACTGGAAAGAGGCTCTGGTTGGGCACTTACAGCATCGCCGAAGAGGCCGCAAAGGCCTACGATACGAAAAAGCTCGAATTCGCAGCCATGGCGTCCGAGAAAAGCACTCAATCAGTGGCTGTTTCTCAGTCTGCTGTGTCTGAGGAATCCGAGAGTTTGTTGTCTCACACTTCTCCATTTTCAGTTCTTGAATTGGACTCTCCGGCTACGATTTCAGATTCACAGATAAATGGAAAATGTGATGGAACAGTGAAAATTGGGACCAATGTTGTGGTGGATAATCCATTGGTGTCTCAAATTGAGAAGAGTGATGGTGAGAAGATTGTGGGCAGTTCTGGTTCTGTTGGTGGTGTGGATAAGGAGCCATTGATGGCTCAAATTGGGGAAGGGCTTGATCTTGGGATGGAGCTATGGTGGATATCTCTCAGCCATGAAATTAGCCCGGTCCAGGTAAGTCCAAGGTGGGGTTTAAGCCGAAGATTTGTCGTCCGAGGTGACGAGGAGTTGCCGGAGTCTGTTGATTGGAGGACCAAAGGTGCTGTTGCTCCGAGTAAAGATCAAGGGGATTGTGGGAGTTCTCGACAGTGGCGGCGGTGGAAGGCTTGAACAAGATCAAAAATCGGCGAACCGATCGAGCTCTCTGAGCAAGAACTCGTCAACTGCGATCGAGCATACGACGCTGGTTGCAATGGCGGCCTCATGATCAACCCAGGGGGGTAGCAC